AATTTAATTTAGAAACTTTTCGAACAAAACAAAGTAAAACTACTGTGGGCGCCAGTTCGCAGAAGGCATTTGTGGCATCTGAAACATTTGAGGCATTTGCGGCATGTACATAGCACTGATGAGCCAACATAAGCACGTAAGTCCACATTTTACTCGTTTTAGGTTTTTGTTAGCAGTAAATTCTACAAACTGAGACGCATCTTTCTGTGAAGACGGATTTAAAATATCTTAGTAAACGGCGGAGATACAGAGCATTACCAAACAGCGAAAGTCCACCCTTGAGCCAACAAAGAAACGAATGTCGTCATGTAAATGGCCATGTAAATCAATTTCTGTGGACACTCTGACCATGGTAAATCAATTCCATGGCCAGCTAGCAGCCAGCTGCTCCCATGGACACGTTCTGACAATGAATCATTGTGCCTTCTAGCCATGGTCATTTATTGTCCATAGATTTATGGAACGATGTGGCCATGGAAGCCTTCTTGCCATGGTCATTTCTTGTCCATAGATTTATGGAACGATGTGGCCATGGAAGCCTTCTTGCGCATGAAATCGCCTGTCCACGGTGCAATTGTTTTATAAACCATGGCCAGGACCTGGCCATTGCTGTTCATTTTGCCATGGTCAGTTCTCGTTCATGGTTTTAAAACACAAATTGACCTAAAACCGTTTCTGAGTACACGCGCAAAGTACCCGCCGAACCCGTAAAGATGCCCTTACACTCAGCACGTCCGCTCCGTCCGTGTCCGCCGTGTCCGCCCGGCCATGTCCGGACGTCTGTGGCTTGCGGCTTTGGACAATGATTTGAATGCTACGTTCACATGAAAGTGAATAAACCTGAATATATTCTGAAAGGGGAAGGAACAGGGATAACGAATGTGTAAAAATATCGGTTTTTCTGGAGCATTATAAAAAAGATCGGGGGCATTTGAAAGAAGGCCACGGCTTCATGGGTGATGCATGCCGTAGTAGTTAGAAATTCGGGCATTTAGAGACTTCCTGGACCCAAACATGGAGCGAGCCGATTATACGATAGACTTTTAGCTTCCTGCTCGTATTTTTGCAAACCCTATGCGATTGATAGTTCTCGAGAACGAACCGTTTTTCTGCCGCCGTGTGTGCGCCCGACCCGTATTCTTAAAGCGCTTTATTGGAGGGAACTACGACTGTCTCTAGATATTATATTTTCGGCTTAATAATAATATTTTATTATTATGCCAGCAATCATTCATATCTTTCCGACTAGATTCGAATCGGAATTATTTCGCTCGACTGGGCTTTCGATTTTTTTTTTGTTCCGTGAGGTTGGCGTGGCTGGTGTGTTTGTGCTAGTGTTTGTGTTTGTAAAACCGAGGTAACCGGCGTTATAGCCATTTACTCGTGGTTAGAATTGATGTTTTGGTGTTAAATCACAAAGATGGCCCCTGTTCGTTCTCTTATTAGAAATTACATGCTATTTGCATTGCAAAGAAGCAGTGCAGGGTGTCCTGTCTCACGTGAAGATGAGGGTGAGAATCAAGCCCTTTCCATTATATCTCTTTGGTTATGTGTGGTGTTCCAATACTCATTTGTTCCTTAATTACAGGAGTTTTGAAAACGCTTGCGGCGTACAATTTTCTGAAACGTGAATCGTTGCGCCTAAGGACTCTAGTGGTGCTAGCCAAAAGAAGAATGAAGCGAAGGTGGTGGGTTCGACCCATATTTGCTGATCGCAAGATGGCAGGAGCCTGGTTTTCCTTAATTCCTGTCATGAAGGAATTTGATGCTGAAGTTTACTTCAACTTCCTTAGAATGACACCAGATTCTTTTGATTGGCTGCTTGAATTAATTGGGCCTGTCATCAGCAAGTCATGTGATCGTAGGGAGGTTATCTCTGCAGGAGAGAGGCTGGCAATAACGTTAAGGTACCAAAAATAAACACTTTGTTTCAACGTTACTTCCTAAACCAATGTTAAAAGAATCCGCTAATGCATTCTCTGTGATTCAGGTACATGGCTTCTGGTGACAGTCAGGTATCTTTGTCGTACTTATTCAGGGTTGCTGATTGCACAATTTCACAAATTGTAACTGAAACAACTGCTGCAATATGGTATGGCCTGAAAGGCTTTGTATTTGAACCTATCTGTGAAGATTTCTGGAGAAGAAAAAGCGCAAAATTTGAGTCAATGTGGAACTTTCCCATGTGTGTAGGAGCCATTGACGGAAAACATTGCTTTGTTCAGGTAAGCAATAAATTGAGTGCTTTTGCAGAGGCTCTGAAATATGTAGCACTCCTGGATTGCTACTAAGGCCCCAGTTGGCTCCTTTGTTATATCAGACAACTTTGTCAAGATTTTGATAATGCTTTTACTTTAATTGTTCCAGAAATTTCCAATGATGGGGTCAGAATGTTACAACTACAAGTACGGCAATAGCCTTATTCTACTTGCCATCAGTGATGCCAAGTACAAGTTTATAATTGTGGATGTTGGCGCCAGAGGGAGAGAAAGTGATGGCGGAGTCTTTGCACGCTCTGAATTTGGACAGCTCTTTCTCAATGATCAGCTGAGGTTTCCCCCAGCAGTTTTCAATTCTGAACTGGATTGTAACCTTCCCTACGTCTTCCTTGGTGATGCAGCATTCCCAGGTGGCGCCCACTTACTGAAGCCCTTTGAGAACCGCTATATCCCGCCTGAAGAACATGTGTTCAATTACAGACTATCAAGGGCCAGAAGAGTTGTTGCACTGTAAAAAAAATTAGTGATTTTACATAAAAAGCATGTAAAACTTTACAACACTTTTATGTAAAATTACAAACACTGGCATTTTTACGACATGTTTTGTCGTAAATTTACAACCAATGTAATTTTACAGAAGTCTTATGGTAAATTTAACAAATTCTTGTAATTTTACAGAAGTCTTATGGTAAATTTAACATAATAATGTAATTT